ACAGACAAAAAATGAAACTATTATTCAGCCACAAAAAGGAATGAACTCTAACAGATGCTCACCATGTATGAAATTTGGAAACAATACATGAAATAAGCCTGACACAATTAAGACAAATATTGTATGATTCCACTTGCATGAGGTATCTAGAGCAGTCAAATTCAGAGAGACAGAAAGGGTCTGGGAGAAGGGGGAAATGGGGTTATTGCTTAATGGTTCCAGAGTTTCTGCTTGGAGTGATTAAAACGTTTTGGAAATAGTGGGATGGTGACACAATACTGTGAAAGTACTTAATGCAGGTGAACTGTGCACTTAAAAACGGTTAAAATGATAAATTTCACGTATATATTTTACAATAAAAAAAGTTTAAAAAAGGAAAAAAAATGGAACCCAAATTGCAAGGAACAAACAGCACAGAAATTGTCAAGAGAAGATGTGAAAACTGTGGGTTACTCTTTCACCACCTTTAACTTGAAGAGCTCAACTGATACATACTGAGAGTGGAGAGAAGTTTTATTTTTCTTAAGGCAGAGTAGATTTCGACATACAAATTTCTGGATAAACAGGAAGAACTGAGTGGAGTAAAACAAACACACTTTAAAGTCCGGTCTAAACCTGTGATTTGGGGTAAGAGTGCACAGTAATACTATGAAAAGCACATTCAAAGTCGTAATTTCACTTTATATTTGGAAAACCGATGAACCAAACAATTGCTTTCATAATACAAAGTAAAAAAGGAATGCTGACCCAAATCTTCTTTGATGGTAAAAATAAACGAAACTAGTCTATCATGAGCATATTAATATTCCTCAAAGGATGAAGTCTTTCAGAACTGGAGACAGGGACTTGGTATTTTCAGATTTATCCAACAGCCACGGAATTTAAGAACGTGGAAAATTATACAAGATAAACAACCCAATTTCTCCAACAAGTATATTGCAAACAAAAATAAAAGAGAAACTAGAGGCACATCAACCAAATGCCATGTGTAAATACAAGTTGAGCCTTCCCGGGAAATGCGAGTTGCCTGGATATTGTGGCGGCGGAGGGAGGAGAGGGGGGAGAGGGAGGAGTGGGGGGGGGGGGAGGGCCGAGGGAGGAGTGGGGAGTGTGGGGGGGGAAGGTGCATCATTCACTCCTCTCTAGCGTTCACGTTGGACATCCTCCGTTACCATTTCTGCCGCACCACTTTTTTCTCTTGGAAGACCGAGCCGCAGGGCTCCGGCCGTCGTTCCCGAAAACACAGGCGGGAGACCCGGGCCCACGGCTCCGCGACCTCCGCCGCAGCCCCCGCCCACATGGGCGCGCCGGACCCTGCAGGCGGTTCCTCCGTCAACACCCAGTCACCGGGGGGCCGTGCTTGCGCGGCCTGACACTGCAGCCTGCCGCCAGCAGCGCCAGGCTCCGGGCGCAGCCGTCAGCCCCCGGGGTCTCGGGGCCGCGCGTCGGAGCCGCTCGCTGGAGGCACTGAGGGGACGACGGAGGCCGCGCGGGCTCAGACGCCGCCGCGCCAGACCGCGCGCTACTCACCCCGACGCCGGCAGCGCAGGATCCCGGCCCTCTGGGACTCGGGCCGTGGCATCGTCCCTCCCGCCACAGCCCGGGTCCGAGCCGCATTAGCCAGAACCGGCGGAGCAGCTTGGGAAGAAACGCTGCACCCGCGCAGTCTCGGACCGAGCGCGCGTGCCCTTTAGGGTCACGTGAAAGAAGGCCCCGCCCCCCCGCGCCGATGACGTCACCGTCCGCGCCGGGCGTGTGCGCCCCGCGGCGCCTGTGGGGTTCTGAGTGCTCGAGAGGCTCCCGGCTTGGCGGTGGCCCTGAAGGTCTGTGACCGGCGGCTTGGGTTTTTTCCTCGTATAAAAAAGGCCTCCTTAAGGACAAGCGGGCTTGTACATATTGAAAGATGTGCAACTTCAGCTTTGCTCAAAGAAATGTGGGTTCAAGTGTGAAGGCTTTGCGGTGTACCTCTCGGAGAAGCCGTGGAAAAACCTCACGCTGGTGGTCAGGTGCAGAAGTGAGGCATCCTGAGGAACAGCGGCCACAGCAAGCCGCGTCAGTGTCACCCGGGGGCTGGTTAGAACTGCTGAATCGCAAGCCCCTTGCCACACCTACCTAGTAATCGAAATCTGCGTTTTACCAAGAACTGCAGGAGATTCACACGCAAACTGAAGTTTGAAATCCCTGTGCGAGGGAACAAGTCAGTGCCTGAGCTGCCACTACTCCACCTGCTCCCGACCCTTGATAGCGTCGGATATTTAAATGTTGGCCTTCTGGAACGGAATTTTTTTCTAGCTGTTATTTTAAACGGGTTTATATGCTATTCCATCAAATTAATGTATAATGGTATAATTCTAGCCATTGAGGTTTGGGTTAGCTCCAGTTTTACTGTTATGAAGAATGACTAAAATGCTCTTTGCAGCCTAACGTTGTGGTTAAGCCCAGAGTCTGAGACTGGGCTGATTCTGCTACTATATGGGCTGTGTTAGTTTGTCCCCAGATAAAGTTACCAGATGAAATACAGGATGGCCTGAAATTTGAATTTCAGAGAAACAAAGAACAGTTTTGTGGTATAAGTATGTTCCGTGGAATATGTGAAATATACTTCTAACAAAACATTGCTTATTTAAAATACAAATTTCAAAGACAGAGCATCCTGTATTTTTGTTTGCTAAAACTGGCAACCCCAACCCGGGACAAATTCTAACTTTGGTTTTCCATCTATGAAATGGCAATAACAGTAGGGCCTATTTTATGTGTGGTTGAACTGAGAGTACTTACCACTGTGTATGAAACGTAATTGGAGCTCAATTTCATGCTGTTGTGTCTTAGGCTACATTCCAAGAAGTATGCTTTAATTAGAGAACTCCCAGGCTTACTTTAAGGCTTGTCTGAACATTTGATCATACCAAAAACTACGTTTTGAGAATAGCTTTGAGTGGGTTAGCAGATACTTCTCAACTAGCTCCACAATAGAAATCAGATTTTTAAGTTTCCACATATGAAACAGAAAATTGCCACCTATAGGCTAATACGGATTTCCTTTCAGTCACACCAATACTTGGATGTTTATTCTGATTTCTATTCCAGAGTCAATATTCAAAAGAAGTTGTTTAAGGAACATACTAGATCATTTCTAAGACTTAACTCACATTGTTATCTGGTACCTGAACCAACATTCACATTAAATAACCAAGACCAAAGGGGCGCCTGGGTGGCTCAGTCTGTTGAGTGCCTGACCTTTGGATTCAGCTCAGGTCATGATCTCAGGGTCTAGATCGAGCCCTGTGTCGGGCTCCCTGCTCTGCGGGGAGTCTGCTTCAGATTCTCTCCCTCTCCCTCTGCCCGTCTCCTCCAGGCCCTCTACCCCCATGCCCGCACGTGTGCCCTCTAGCTCTCTAAGGAGGAAAAAAAAAGAAAACGGAAGACCTAATATTAGGCTCCATGGCTCTAAGAACATTTGTCTTTTTCTTTTGGCAAAGCTGATATTTACAACATCCTCCTTTATGCTTACCAAAGAAAAAATTATTCTCAGATTTCAAAACTAGAAAAAAGTTATTTCAAAATGGTTTATTTATACTAGAATTCTTTTTTCCTTCTACAGATTTCTATTTTGTATTTTACACTAATTTTAAGGTTCATGGGTTTATTATAATCATTTTTTATTACTTTCTAGAAGCAAGTAAGGTATAAATATGGTCCAAGAATATAATCATAATGTGGTGCTTATTTTGTGTTGCCAGATTGACTTTTTAAAGGGTCAATCAAGTTACCCTGGCCACCTGTAATATATAAGCCTGGGTTTTCCCCATGTCGTTCTAACAATAGATTCTATAGAGTATTTTGCTAAATACATAAATCTAACAATAGATTCTATAGAGTATTTTACTAAATACATATGTATAAGGAGATTAGATAAACTCCCCATGAAGGGAGGGATGTTTTCCTGTTCCCTCGTCTGCTGCGTCCCAGCACCAAGAAGGATATCTGGCCCTGGAGGACCACTCAATTGTTGACTGAGTGAGCATAATAGATAAGTTGTCTCCTTCTGTAAAAACTAGCTTATGTGCTAGGTTTGGTGATCCTACCCCAAGTCTCCCCCATTCCTTTTATTCCTTTCAATGTGTTCTTTCCCTCATTTTCTCTGTGAATTAAATATATGCCCCCTTTCTAGCCACCTTCACCAGGGTGAACACAACAGCCATCCCTCTAACCCAAAAGAAGTACTTTAGACATTTGGAAGTATGTTCACACAGGGTAGATAGGGAACTTAGCTACTTCTTCCCCAGTCCCAGCTAAACAGTTCTTAGCCAGAACATAGATTAACAACAGAGCACACAATCCAAGAAGTATCAGGAGAGCTGTAGGCCAGAGCCATAGGAGGGGAGAAATATGAACAAGGCAAAATCAGAAGCAGGGAAGAAGGACTGTCTCCAAGTGACAAAAGGACTGACAGGCGCAAACTGGAAGACTGGCCTAGAGAACTGGACTGGGGCACCACGGCAAGTGGATGGGACGTCAGAAAGTCAGGAACCCAACCAAGCAAGGAATCAGCACCAAAATCTACACTGGCAGGAAGAGAGGCGCTCAGTACAGTTGAGCCTCGGTTGGTATGGACCAACCAAGGCTCTCTGTGAACGTCTTAGAAGGCCACCAGTCCAGGTCATCTGCCTGGAGTGGAATGGAGTTGACAAAGGCTCCAAGAGTGGAGCATTCCCTGTGGTCTAACGGGACCAAGTGAGTCTGGCAAATAACGAAGAGAATACACTCTATCTCCCTTGCTCAATTGTATGATAGTCTTAACTGTGTGACCGTGTGTATTTCTAATGTTCAAGGTTTTGCCACCCCAGAAATTTAGTGGCATGTGTAACAAAGTGTTAAGAACTATTGTTAAAAGAAGACAGAAAGGCACTCTTGTTCTAGAGCACTCTGGTTGTATTTCTTACTGCATGTCACATAATTTCATGATGTTCCAAACTTGCACTCTTCTCTGTGTTGAAGACCTAGGGGGATTTTAGCCCTTCATTAATGAAAATGATTTGTTTCCTTTTCATTGGCTGCCCTTAAGATGTCTCCAGTTCTGGGAAGACATTTTCCAAATACCACTGAAATGATTTGCAACCCAATCGTTTCCTCAATTCAACACGCTCACTAATGTTTCCGTAGGCAACAGATTTCAGACCAGGTTGTCGTAAAAAAAACTGCTCCTAAAAGGAAATAGAGAGTCATTTCATTAAACCAGACAAGTCATATCTAACATAGCAGTATATATTCCCATCACCTGAACTAAAAAAATAAAAACAGAAGACCTTCCGATTCCATCCATGGAGTGAGGGCAGAGACACACGTGGTACCTGGGATTCACCTGCCCCACACGTATTCACAGTATGTTCTGTGACAAACTACAGCGAGATGATGTAGAGGGGTCCAGGAAGGGAACCAGGGATCCAGGTCCTGCTTCTTAGGAGCCCAAGAATCCCAGACACCTGTTGTGATATATCCCCTTTCTCCTGCTCTTTCAATACTCAAGGACAAAACCCTCACTCCCTGGTCCCAGTTAACACTCCCATGGTTTCAGAAATAGGAGATGGGGTAGTGGCTAACGGCAAATTGACTCTGGGGGAAGACAGCCTGGGTTCACATTCTTGCTCTGTTGTTTATTATGTGGCCTCTGCCCCTACCCTCATGAGGTTGTCGTGAGGACTGAACCCTCTATCTAATACCTGCAGAGAGCACTGGGGAAAAAAGGCTGGCATATGGTGTCATGTCAGCACTGGCCATTATTATCACCACCCCTGGTCTGTCTGTTACATGCTCTGATTTAAGACAGTATTAAGTACGGATGTCTAATGGATTCGGTCTGCCCCATATTAAAAGAGATATTCTAAATAGACTGAAGCCTTGTATTTTCATCTGAGTTTCCCAGTGCCCAGAATATAGTACAGTAATATTGTTGAACAAGAGAAGGAACTTGCTTCTCCAAGCTAGTGTATTATGGGCATGCCATGTTGGATTCTCCCTGGGACACTTGACCATTGTAGGTCTTTGCCATCATGTCTTGCCACTCCTAGTTCCCAGGGCAGATCGATGCAGGGGATGGGCCTGAGGGTGGGAGAGGGGTATTGCCTTTGGGAGCAAAGGCAGAGAGGACCTTAGACAACATTTTGTGCGAAGCCCTCTCTTGTCTAATGTCACTCACTACAGTTTCCAGTGTGCCGGGTCATACATCCATTGATTTTATGCCAAACAGTATATGCTTTTTAGGTTAGCTGGACCTTTTTGTCACTATATCCTCCGTGAAATTCAGTAAACTGCTCAGTCCTAGATGTGTTCAAGTCAACTGCTTAAGTCTGTGGCCAGAATTCACAGAAAAATCAACAAACATGAAAATAAGCTCAAGATCTCTCATAAATAAATGCAATATAAAATAATAATAATTTCCAAACTACCAGATTAGAATGTAAAGTTTAATTAAAATCAGGGTTGGAAAAGTTGTGGGGAGACAGGCATTTATGTATTTGGTGATAGTGATGGTAGTTTGGACATTAACCATCAGGATATAAAATGCACCTCTCATGGCCCATCAAGTCCATGTTTTGAGATTTACTCCCGAGATATATCTGCACAAATGTACAAAAAGATAGTGTGAAGGATGTGCATTGCGGCAAATGTTAAGGATTAATAAAAAGCTGAGATAATCAGAATGTTTATCTGTAGGGGGCTATTTATTAATGGGATCAATTTTAGGAGATCCATTCAAAGGAAATATTTAAAAGAATGATATGTTTATATGGTCAGATTTTAAAGGACCTTGAAAGTATGTTTTTAAAATATACTAACAGGTAGGGGCACCTGGGTGGCAGTCAAGTTAAGCATCTACCTTCAGCTCAGGTCATAATCCCAGGGTCTGAGGACTGAGTCCCTTATCAGGTTCCCTGCTCAGCAGGGAGTTGGCTCTCCCTCTCTCTCTGCCCCTCCCTCCCCTCCACTCAGGCTCGCTCTCTCTCTCTCTCTCATAAACAAACAAATAAATAAATAAGATTTTAAAAATAAAATATGCTAACAGGTGGAAAAATTGCAGAACAAAATATTGTGTGAATCTAGTTATGTAAAAGGATATATATTTGTTTTTAAATGTGTGTTAAACTATTAGTGATTACTAAATTTAGTGATTTAGTGATTGCTAATTTAACATTACTTCTGAGGGGTCGAACTATGGTCTGAGAAAGCTTGCTTTTCATTTAGTACTCTTTCAATACTGTATGACTTTTAAACATGAGTATGTTTTACCTTTTAAAAAAGAATTTCTTTTAAAAATTGGGAAATATAATAAGCATACAAAAAGTACATAAAATTAAATGTGCAACTTAATGAATTGCTGAAAAATCAATCCCTGTCATATTGACTAGGTCAAGAAATAGAACATAAATGGCATCCCCGAAGCCCCCTGCCTTTCCCGTCCTGAGCATAGGCTTTCCCTTGGTTTTAAATGCTATCTTGATTATGTATTCATGTCTTTGCTTTTCTTTTTAGCTTTGATTATCTAACTGTGCACCCATAAATTACATGGCTTAATTTTACCCATTTTTAACTTAATAGGAAATGGAATAAATCAGTATATACTCTATTGTGTTTGGCTGCTTTTGTTGACCATTGTCTTTAAGGTATACTGTACTGTTGTATGTGTATCTACAGTTGGTTAATTTTCACGGCTGTATAGAATTATATCAATTAAATATGTCACATTTATCCATTCTACTCTTGATGAACAGTTGGGTTGTATTTAGTGTTGGCTAACACCAACAATGCTGTTTGTAAACATTCTTGTTCATGTGTTCTTGCTGCACAAAAGCATGCCTTTCTGGGGTGTATGCACAGAATAGAATTGCTGGATCATGGGATATTCATGATCTTTACTTGATTTTGCCAAACTGTCTTCCAAAGTGAGTTTGTAATAATGAATACTCCCACATGCGGTGTCTGAGAATTCCTGTTTGCCAATACTTGGTCCTATCAGGCTTTAAACATTTTGGCCAATCTCAGTGGCTATGTAGAAATATCTCATTGAGGTTTTAATTCACATTGCCTTGATTACTAGAGAAAGAGTATTATTACTTTTATAATTTAAAATAATAAAGAAATATTAGATTAAGACCAGAACATAGAATATCATAAAGAGATTCTTACATATTTCTCCCCATGTATCTGAAATGAGGTCTTGCTGGGGTTACCGCCATATTGGTTTGTGCATGGATCCTGGAGGGACAACTTTCAAATGAGGCCACAGCTACATGTTCTCTGTCTGTGCACCTTTTTAGGTCTTGGCTAGGGACTGAAGCCTTGGGGAGGTGCACAGGTGAAGGGGCAAGGCTTTGATAGAGAAATCTTTGTCGGTAGAAAAGAGATAGTGGAGGTTCTTGCGCGGTCTCCAGATCACAGCAGCTGCATCCCTTGAGAACTTGGTAGGAGAGGAAGAGAATTTAAAGAGTTGCCTGTGGGGAGGGGAGCAGGGAGAGGTGTTTGCTTCAGAGGGGCAATCCTTAGGGGGAAAAATAGATCTGGGCCAAACAAACAAAACAAAACAAACTTCCTATGGTGGTTGATTTACTTCTGAGAAACTTGAGCTTCCCTAGAAATTAAAATAAAAAGTGTAGTAGGTTAGAATGAACCAATTGAGAATAGGGTCTGGGGAACGTAGATGAGTGGCTGAAGGCTAATTTAAGGAAAATAGAGAAAAAAAACCCAAAACTTGTTATCTCGAAAGATAGTAGCAGGTTTCTTTTAGAGCAAGTCCCATTCTGTACTCTTGCTTTTCTTTCCAAATCAGAGACATTTCCTTTACCTTGTATTCATCCAGCCAAACATGCACCAGTCTGAGATTGTTATATGTCACGGCTTTTACAAGCTCAGGTTGATTTGGAAAGTGCGGCTTATTGATGTGTCCCACTCGAGAGCAGGGGAGTATAAAGAGTCGGCCTCCACACATCCAGATCTAGACAAAACCAGAAAACATTAATGTATGTTTGCTAATACAAGGCAACCGCAGAATTCTTTTTTTTACAAACATAGGGATAGCTAACATTTCTTAAGTTGTTCATTTAATCCTCACAACAACCCTATAATGGAGATACTGTGATTATCCCCACTTTACAGATGAAGAAACTAGTACATACGTTGGTTAAGAAACTTGCCCAGTGACAGAGAACGCAGGGTTTAAACTCAGGAAGTTTGGTCTCAGAGCCAGCTCTCCAAATACCAAGTGATTCTGTCTCCCTCATATGTGACCAGTTCTTTGGGACTTTTTTGTTTATTTGTTTTTAAAAAGATTTTAAGTATTTATTTGACAGAGAGAGAGACCTAGAGAGAGCGTGTGCACAAGCAAGGGGAGTGGCAGGCAGAGAGGGAGAAGCAGGCTCCGGCTGAGCCTGGAGCCAGATGCGGGGCTCGATCCCAGGACCCTAGGATCATGACCTACGCCGAAGGCAGACACTTAACCAAATGAGACACCCAGGTGCCCCATATGTGACCAATTCTGATGCTGACTGTGTATGAAAAATGGCAAGATATTTTGTCTTCAAATATTCTCAAACGATATTCTGAGCGTGACTAAGTATTGCTGGATGTCAGCAGGGAACAAAAGAAATATTGATCGGGGCTAAATTCAATGATTCCTCTTTTTTGTACTTAAAACACTTTATAACACTTTTTTTAAAAAATTTTTTATTGTTATGTTAATCACCATACATTATAGAACACTTATTTTTAACAGCTTTTTTACTACACAACATATGCCCATTGAAAAATCAACAAATGTGAAAAGTACACAGAAGAAAATAAAAATCACTTCTTTTCCTGATAGTCTGTTAGTCAATATTAATCCAGGTCTGTGTATATACACACATATGTACACAACATTGGGATAACTTGTGGGTTTTTTTCATTTAATGGTATGTGAAGTTATTCTACAAGTTTTGTATTATTCAGATATTTTGGTAGTTTCCAGTTTTTAGTATTATAAATAATAACACAAAGAATGTGCTTATAGGATAAGTCTTGTGCACACACTTACATATCTCACAGTATACTTGCCATGACTTTTTTGTTTACTCTAATTCTGTGATTCTTGCATTGTCCCCAAACTAGCAGCATCATACCACTCAGAAACTTCAAAATGCAAAAGCCTTGGGCCCACCCAGACCTACTGCACCAGGGACTGTGGGGCTGGGCCCAGAAATCTGTATTTTAACCCGCTCCTCAGGTGATTCTGATGCTCGCTAAAATGAAAATCACTGTTCTGACTGGTCAAGACCATATAGCCCAGTTTTATAGACAATTTCTTATAAAATCCACCTAATCATTTAGGAAACAGTAATAGGAAATAAGGCTTTCACTGAACACAACACTCACATTGTTTATAAGAACAATACTTAGGGTGAAGTATATCCCTCAGGTAGTCAGAAGGGATGATGTTTAAGAAAATGCATCTTCTGACATAACATGAGACCTAAAGACCCATGCAACTAACCTCTAGATTTCTTTAGAAATAACCAGAAAAAGCCCCTCAGAATGTCTAGAAAAATATCTATGGAATTCCTTTTCCCTTAGAAGAACCGTTAGATCAGAATTCCAAAGCATTAGGTTCTTTTATCAGATCAGCCACATGCTTATGAGCAGACACATCCTCTCTGGATCTTACTTTTTTTTTTAAGATTTTATTTATTTATTTGAGAGGGAGAAAGTACACAAGTGGGGGGGTGGGGAGAGGAGCAGAGGTAGAGGGAGAAGCAGACTCCCTGCCGAGCAGGGAGCCCGATGTGGGGCTCGATCCCAGGACTCTGAGATCATGACATGAGCCAAAGGCAGATGCTTAACCAACTAAGCCACCCAGGTGCCCCTGGATCTCATTTTCATCTAAAATTGAGAACTACATAGTTGTTCACTTAAGCTACTGTTTGGGGGCGCTTTGTTACATAGCAAAAGCTAACTGGTACTAGCTATCTATAATGTTTTATTCTCTTTTTTTAAAGTGAGAACTTAAGGAAATTTGGAAGATCATTAATATCTGTTTAATAATTAGACTGGAGAAAATCACTGTTTGTTATATGTTTGAAATGTTTCTTGATTAGAAAAGAAATCCTGCATACAGAATAGAAAACAAAAGTAATCAAAGTGATGAAAGAGGTACAAGAGAAAAATTTTATCAAAAAACTTTCTCGGGGCGCCTGAGTGGCTCAGTCATTAAGTGTCTGCCTTCGGCTCAGGTCATGATCCCAGGGTCCTGGGATCGAGCCCCGCATCGGGCTCCCTGCTCTGTGGGAAGCCTGCTTCTCCCTCTCCCACTCCCCCTGCTTGTATTCCCTCTGTCAAATAAACAAACAAATAAATAAATAATCTTAAAAAAAAAAAAACTTTCTAAAAAACCATGGGGTGCCTGGGTGGCGCAGTCCATTGAGCACGTCTGACTTTTGGTTTCAGCTCAGGTCATGATCCCGGGGTCATGGAATTGAGTCCTATGTTGAACTCCCTGACTGGAGTCTGCTTGGAATTCTCTCTCTCCCTCTGGCCCTCCCTCCCCGCTTCTGGAAGAAAGAAAAAAATAAATCTTTAAAAAATATATCAAATTGAAGGACGCTAAAGCAATTTAGCCTAATCTTCAAAGGGCTCAGGTGTTTGTTCTTTTACTCTTGATTCATTCTCAAGAGGGACATGATCCATCTGAACATACATTTTGCTGGGCTCACTGTCCATGTAGATGATGGTCAGCTTGCTTCCTCAGATATTCTGCTGGAAGTTGTCCATCCAGCTCCTAGATTCTACTGTTATTATTATTAGTAATAGTAGTAGTAATAGCACCAGTAACCCACTGAGAGTTAGGCTAACGCAGTGGGTAAGAGCACAGACTCTGGGCCTGGCTCAGTATGGTTCGAGTCCTCCAACAGCTGTATGAACTAAGGCAAGTTACTGCAGTTATTCAACCTATTTGTGCCTCAGTTTCCTCAACTGTAAAGTGAGAATAACAGTACCCACCTCATGGGATTGTTATGAGCATTAGATAAGTTGATACTTATAAAATGCTTAGAGCTGGTGTTTGTAAATAAGCGTGTATCTCTGCAGTAGTCAAGTATGGTAGGTTGCAAGAATGGCCACAGATCCTCTTCATTCCTATATGCACACTTCTGTGCAATGTAAATTGTACCTCATTCCATCAAGAGGTAAAGCTTATTTCTCCATCTCTTAAATCTGGCCTTGGCCTCATGATTTGCTTCGGCCAATGCGACCTTAACAGATGTGACACAAACAGAGGCTTGCAAAGTGTTTGCTGCATGGGACTTGCCTTCTCTTGCTACTCTTGGGAACCTTGTGACCATTGCATTGGAAATGAGCCTGAGCTAGCCTGACTGATATAAGAGACAAATGGCAAGTCATCTCCACTGCCCCAGCTATCACTATGTCTAGACATGCAAATGATGTCATCCTAAACTTGCCAGCACCAGCTGAGCCTCCAGATGAACACAGATGTATAGGCAACAACAGTATAAATCAGCCATTCTGTCTATGACCAGAAAAGCCACTCTAGCAACACAGTGAATTATGAGAAATAACAATTGTTTGCTGTTTTAAGCCACTGTGTTTTGGGATAGTTTGTTATACAGCAAAAGCTAACTGATACACAAGGGGACATTTTTCTCTTAACTGCAGTTTTACTCACTAAGTAAAACAGACCTCCATCCACTTGGTTGTTTATTCCAGAAACTTGGTGTGATAGATGGAAATATTGTTCCACAAATATTAGCTCCCTCCCCCATCCCTCACCTTTATTTCTCTGACATCCTGACTTTGGGCTTGTCCCTCTGTTGCTTTGGCCAACAGAACAGGAGCAGGCATGATGCATGCTGAGGCCCTTTAAATATGCTGTGTGGTTTGGCTTGACTTTTGCATCTTTGCCCAACCAAATGAGAAGAATATGCCGAGTTGCTACTAGTTACCACTCGTATACTAGTACTACAAATACTAGTAGAATAGTAATACTAGTAGCACACTAGTAGAATTTTAATACTTAGAATGATGAACAGACCTGAACAAAAGTCAAAGACTAGAGCCAAGCCCAGATCATCTAAATTCAGAGGCAGAGTCACCCTGGCCAGCCCATTAACATATGAAAGAAACAACCTAACGCTTATTGGTCTAAGTGATTCAGTGTTGAGCTGGTTTGTAACAGCATTGTCACGGCATTAGCCGACCCATAATGGCTCACCTGGGACACCACTTTCTCTTAACATCCATCTTACCTGCTTGGTCTCTAAGTTCCGACCACTCTACTCATAAGATATGCCTGGAATCCATTTAGTCTTTCCTCCTCCATTACCACCGCTCTAGTTCCATCCAAGGTCACCCTTTGTCCAGATCATCACAAGAAGCTCCTGCTCTCTCTGCTTATCCTCCACTTTGTTCATCTCCATCACTGTCCTACTTAAAACCTCCCTGCAGCATTCCACTGTGCATAAGATACAATCTAAGTCCTTACAAGGTCCTGTGGCATCCTGCCCTTGCCCCCTCTCTGGCCTTCCTTATCCTTCCTTACATCCTGGTCCAGCCTCACTGGCCCTTCTCCACTGACATATATGGGTTGAAAGGCTGCCTATTTTCTGAGTCTGCAGGCAGAAATCAGGGCATTACTAAGTATTTTCTTACTTCTGTAATCTGTATTTGTTTTTGTGAGGTGACGTAGGGGCACCTCATGTGACAAAGCCAGAGTCGGATTTTCTCAGGCTGTCCCACTGGCCTCACAGTTATGGGGCTGCCTTCCGGATTCAGGCAGTCCATCAGATTTCTTTTCTAGTGGGATCCCACTTTCTCCAGTCTCCATGAACATCTCAGCAGAAAGTCAGGAGAGGCTGCTAGCCAGCTACCATCTGGAATGAGAACTCTGAGACAGCTGTCGCATAGAAAGAAAGGAACTAACATTGGCTGAGGGCACATTAGGTGGCAGAC